ACTATAATTTCGATCAAATTCTTTTTTTTTTCAAAATTATTAGAACCTGGGGCAGTCAACAGAAGAAATAGAAATAACGGAAAAAGTGATGACAAGAAAAACAATAAAATTAGAATTATTCTGAATTATCTGTATCCAAATTATAAAATTAAAAATTAAAATTAAAAATAATAAATTGTAAAAAATTCCTCTTCTTAGGTTTCTTTAAATCTTCTCCAGGCATTGTTATACACTGATAGCTGGGGATAGAAATATTAAAGAGTCTTAACTTTTCTTTTGCTTTGCCGATACTTCAACAAATCATACAAAGTATTAATAAAGGGATTGTTATTCTATTTCCAAGAGATATCATTTAAGATTGTTGTACCCTTTCCATGTTCATTCTTCATAATACATACATTAGTACTAATAACATTTTTTTTAAATTGCGACTTGTGAATTTTTTACAAAAATAAACAGAATCTAAAAAAGAGAAAGAATAATAAAAATATTCTGTCAGGTATTTCAAGCAATAATCTAAACATGATGTAAGATCTACGGTTCTTCATAAACTTTATATGAGTTCGCGGTTTTCATATTAGACCTGCTGAATATCTCCAGGTTCAGATTAGACCTGCTAAATATCTCCAGGTTCAGATTAGACCTCCTAAATATCTCCAGGTTTAGATTAGACCTGCTAGATATCTCCAAGTTCAGATCAGACCTGCTAGATATCTCCAGGTGCAGATCAGACCTGCTAAATATCTCCAGGTTCAGATCAGACCTGCTAAATATCTTCAAGTTCAGATTAGACCTGCTAGATATCTCCAGGTTCAGATTAGACCGTTGAATATCTCCAGGTTCAGATTAGACTTATTAAATATATCTAAGTTCAGATTATACCTACTGAATATACCCAGGCTGAGATAAAACCTGCTGAATATCTCCAGCTTCAAATTAGAGCTACTCAATATAGCCAGTTTCAGATTAGACCTGCTAAATATATCTATCTTGCTGAATATATTCAGGTTAGGCTTAGAACTGCTTAATATCTCCAGGTTCAGATTCGGCCTGCTGAATATAACCAGGTTCAGATTAGACCTGATGGATATCACCAGGTTCAGATTAGACCTACTAAATATATCTAGGTTGAGATTTGACTTGCTGAATATCTCCAGGTTTAGCTTAGAACGGCTAAATATCTCCAGGTTCAGATTAGACCTGATGAATATCACCAGGTTCAGGTTAGATCTGCTAAATGGCATATGAAATTTAAAATATTATTTGTTCTTCTCCCGTCACGTCCTATCCTACTTCAGTGAACTTGGCTTCCTTCATCCTCTTCTCAGCATTTACATCTAAGATTGTGTAACACATTGCACCGTATATTCTCTTTAGATTTAATCTAATCTATTCTATCTTCTCAAACATTCATTCTAATAATCTGAATTAAACATTTTATCAAAATTAACAAAAATAGCAAAAAAATACGAAAATGGAGGAGAAAAATGATTATTAGGAATTAATATCAATTACAACAGATTTATTGTAAAAAAAGATATTTCTATACAGATATTAACAGCAGGTTTATTAAAATAATATTTTACCATTATTTTAATTTTATTCTAAATAAAGAAAATATCTGGAAAAAATGTTGAAGATAGAATTTGGAAAAAAAACCATTGTTTTACTTTTTCACAGAAAAAAGTTTGATTATAGTTTAAATGAAAACGTTAAAAATCACTGATAAGATATAATTTACGACAAATCATCCAAGACGTAAAATTTAATAATATAAGGGTTTCAAATCCGTTGTTTATAATTTAAATGTGTTTATTAGAAATATTTTGATTTTTGTTAAAAACAACAAAATTAACAAACCCAACGGACGCCATGAGCCTCCGCTATGCAGACACGAGCCTCCCAGATTAGCTAGGCAAACGAGCCTCCACCATAAAGCACAGATTTTTTTAAATCTTGGTTTTTATGTGTAGTGACAAATGTGGAGAAATATTTCTGGATTAAATTTTGTTTGTTTTGAGGTAATCTTTGATTTAAACAATAAGTTTTTTGAAAATGTTAAGATTCAAATAAATTTTCTGGATTCAATTTGAACTACAAAAAAAGGTTACAGCAGATGAAATGAAATTCAATTCAAATTTTTTCTCTCTAAATATTTTCCTTTTCATGTATAAATGTTTAAAATTTTATATACCATTTTATTAGTCATAATTAGGCACTATTTACATAGCCGGTCACTCCCTTTAATGATTTTTAATTATTTATTGGAAATATTTAGATTTTGTTAAAAAAGAAGAAAATTAACAAACCCAAATGTAGGCTTTCCACAAGGGTCCGTTTTAGGCCCTCTACTTTTTCTAATTCTTATAAATGACCTGCCAAATGCAGATGATTTCTTTCCTTAATTGTTTGATTGAACGGTAATTTAATTGAACGGTAAAAGTCTTCCATAATTGTTTGCAAATGCAAACCTTTTAAAGCGTTAGCTTGGATTGAACTTACCTTAAATGAATTCATCAAAAACATAATATATTGTGTTTAGATCAAAAAAGAAAAAAAAACTCTGGACGACTTTTACATCAAAATGTATAAAAATTCCTTGAGTCCATTGGAATTGGAGAATTGAAGACGATCTTAAAACTAAATCATTTAAATTTGTTACGAGTTCACATTGATGAAAAATTTTTCATTGACATATCATATTCAAAATGTAAAAGCTTAACTTTCTTTTATTAATCAACAATCTTTAAAGTCAAATATCCTCCCTACAGATATCCTACTAACTTTATAACTCCTATTTAAACCTCAGATTGAGTAATGTATTATTGCCTGGGGTGGCGACCCTAATAGATTTTTTAAAGAATTGTCAAAAAGAAGTTAGGATGATAATTTTTCTCAATGATTTTATATTTTCGAACTCCACAAACCTTTTTTCTGAGACATTTCACAAGTCTTGATTTTGTTCAGGCGCACTGTGTAAAGTTAAACATCAAAAGAGCTGCATCGGTCGGGCCAAATTTTTTGTGGCAACTCACATAACCCCAGAAAAAGGTAATGAAATTATGGACGGTAAAATTCGAAAAATGTAAAATTTTATCAGAAATGTTTTGTTTATTCCAGAGCAAGGGGCGTATAAACAACGAGGGTATAGTATATAGAGTGATGATGTTACGCTAATCCTGGACTAATTGTACAGGCCGTGTACGCCACTTTCAAAGGCCAATCTGTATTTTTCCCCCTTCTTCAAGGGTGTGTTATTTCAAGTGGTTCTCAATTTAAAAAGTTTAATTTTTAACATTAAAAATAATTTAGTTTTCTTGACAGTAATGGCAAAGAAACTGAAATAAGTTAATAAAAATCCGGATGCATTATTTTATGCTGCCCTTTTTCGTTTTTGGTCGTAAAAGAAACCCTCACTTTAGGTTTTCAGAAATAGTATGAAGAAACCAAACTAACTGTATAATATTTCCAAAATAAAATGTCCTTTGTGTGTTGTATAAAACCTAAAAGTTTTAAAAAGCAGAGCAATATTTCATTGTTTATAAATGATTCTGAGAAAAACTAAGTAAAATTTAAGATACGCAACCTCCCGTAAGCGTACGGCATATTTGATGTTTGTACTGTACATTAGACCATCAAGTCCTATTAGCATATATATTAGTAATCCCAACTTTATTGTACAGATAAGCTAAATAGCTTGCAGGTAGACAACTATCAACCCCCCCTGTGCACAAGTCTAGTCAGTGGCATATTCAGGAATTTGTCCAAGGGGGGGGGTTGCTTAACATTTGTTTTCTGTTTAAGGGAATTCAGCACCCGTTTGGGCCCAAAAACCTCCGGAAAATCTTCGATTTTACTAATCCAGGGGGCTGAGCCCCCATAGCCCCCCTTGAACCTAGTTTTCCTATATTTCATCCATTCCAGATGAAATAATTGTGATAAGGATTGTTTCACCATTATTGATTAACCTACTCACGCAGATAACCTAAATAATCTGATTTCATGATGTTGAATCTTAAATTTTTAGTTTGTTTGTAAAGTTTACAAAATACAAAAACAATACATTCCCCAGAGATCTTGAAACTTATTATTAATCCAGGTTTGAAATTTCATTGCATTAGAGAGCATTTTATTTAAAATATAATATTCCATATTCCATTTAGAATCATCTTATTTAATTAACAATCTTAATAAGGTTCTACTGAATAAGACTGGTTACAAACAGACAGACAAACAGACAGACAAGCCTTTAATGAGACCGACCACATTTTCAAGTATTAGGCCTACTTTAGAAGATTAAAACGTTATTCTAGAGCAAAATAATTTATCAACGACCCCGGCCCCCCTTTTAATCAGCATTTTACCTAATTCTAGTACAATAAACGACGTTTAGTAGGCTAATAAGCTTAACGCATCTTTGAAAAGGGATCGAGCAAATTTTCGAATGTTAGACAATCTTATGAAGGTTAAAACGGTATTCGAGCAAACTTTTCCATTGAAGACCCCTCCCCATTTATGGGATTGTACCTACTGTTAAATCACCTTATTGAAAAATAAAATAAAAAAGCTTCAACACCTTTTTTCAGATACACCCTGAATATATTGGAAATCCCTTTTCGATCTTTACTAGTTTCCTAAATTTTGATTAATCACAATAACAGGATCACAGAGCGTTCCAAATATATAAATCCACTTATCTATCCTATTCCTAGTTCATTTAATTAACCTAAACATTGTTTGAATGTGTAACAAATCCTTGATCACTCTTAATACGTCAAAGTATGTTTTTGAGATAAAATTCTCTAGATGGAAATAAAATAAAACCGAAAATGATAAAATACTCCATTTCCAGAATTGATTCAAATTAACATGAAAAAAACAGCACCATTCGCAAGAAGTTTTTCCACATTCATTTTATAAACGTTTTGACATTCATAAAAAAGGGGGGCTACAGCTCACCAAACAATATTCTTTCACGTCTCACAACAGTACACTTTCTCTGAAAGAAATTCACTGATTTATTTACATAAGACATAAAAAAATTACAAAAAATAACATGTGATAATTTACACATCGAACAGATACATGGAGTAACAAGTGCTGTCAGACTCGATGATTAGATAGAGAACCAATGTGAGGTTTTACAAGGTTTACAGTTCAGATTTAATTTGGGACCGTAGTAGGTTGGAAATGCCAGGAACTGGTTCTCTGAGTTTAAAATATCCTCAACCATCCTCTGCGAAAATCCAACCTGGAATAGAACCAAAATCTCCAATCTTCTTTTTTATCAAATGAAGGATGTTGAAGTTTTTCAAAATTATGGATATCTCTAAGTTATCAAACTAATTAGTGGAGTTTTTTAAAATGGCCGCCAATGTGAAAACTTTTTAAATAATTTGAGATTTCCAAGATGGTGGCCAAGTTTGATATTTCCAAAATTGAGGCGACTTTTTATATTTCCAAAATGGTGGCGAAACTTGAGATTTTCAAGATGGCGTCCAAGTTTGAGTTCTTAAAAAAGGCAAGAATTTCAGTTCCTCAAAAAAGCATATTAGTTTTGTCTTTCAATGTCAGAAGATTTATAATATATATATATATATACTTCCTCAAAAATACCAAAAGTCATTATGTTCACTATTGAAATATGCAGAAAGGGAAAAAGAAACTTTTTTTTTGTACTTGACCTTATCCTTCTTCTGGTAGAAGCTCAGAAAGTCCTCTAGCTCCAATATTGCTTGTTCAAAATGCTTGATAAATAAATCGAGATTTCTAACAGCGTTCCTAAAAACAAATTAGTTAAAATTAGTAAACTGTTATGAAATATATCAAGGTTGAACCAAAGTGTTTAAATAAAGAAAAAAATATGAAATTATTCTGAAAAAGAGTTTGGTTTCATATTTGGAAATAATTTAAAACAAAATAAAAATAACGGAACTTGATTATCTTACCTTTCCTCGGCCGGGGTGGCCTTGATGTACTTGCGGGACTTGCAGTAGTTCTCCAGGTACCTGGTCAACATTATGCTTCGGAACTCAGAGAAAGGAATAATCTTAGAGTCTTTCTCGTCGATCTCCACAACCTAAAATTGCGAGTTTATAAAGTATTGACTGATAAATATGTGACAAAATTTTAGAAAAAGAGAAATAAACTAATTGGATGAAATGTGTACTATAAATATACAAAAAAAATTAAATGTACATTGTACGATTCACAAGGATACCGCATTAAACCTTTATATGAGAAAAAATTATTTAGGAATTTAGATTTTAAAAAAAGAATAAAAACATCAAATGATAAAAATCGAAAATAAGTTTATCTAACCATAAAGATTGTAGAAATTAAAAACAAATTATTCTTATTTTTATTTTGTTAATGGTAAAAAAGATAAGTTAATTTCTTAAAAATAAATTCATGCATAATCTAATATCCTAACCAAAGACTATATTTAAGAAGTAGTTGAACTACGTAATTCAAATTGAACCACTTCTCTTTGCATTGACCTGGCACACAAGAGAACTGGTTGAACTCGCTTTTCATTAGTAATTAAATCTGGCCTCAGGATTAGTCTCTGGTCCTTTAACTTTGTATTTTGCAATCCCAGAGTAATAATAATAATAAACCATCAATCATCGGATTATGATGAACCATCTCCCCACCACATCTTGTTTTCAGCTTTATCATCCTAGCACCTACATTCATACCACCTCTACTAATGTGGTCAAAGATACCTTAAGGAGAACCATCTTATCAGGGTATCTACTAGAAAACAATCTTACCAGGATTTCTGCTAGAGAATCATCTTACTTGAGTATCTACAGGGTGATTTTATTTAATTTAAATGTTCACCAAAGCAAAACAAGGTTTAATGAAAAGATCATTTCAATATTTATTAACTCGATATTAAATGAAATTTGATGAAAAAATTAATCTCCAGCATTGTTAATCTTTCTATACTTAAGGAGGCTCTCAAACAACTTCCAAACTTTGAACCCGATTTTTGGACAATTCGACTTTTTCACATCACATGGAGGACGAATTTTATATTTCAAAAGTTGGGATCGTATTCTATAAGATCTTCTCATATATCTAGGATCCTACAATTATTATTACAACTGCAGTGGACATTAGTTCCAAAACTAATACTTGGCAATAACACTGAGTGTTAGAAATGGACACAAATAAGACTGGGGTTTTAGGATCCCGGCCCATATTGAGGGTAAAAACTAAAACCAACATTTCATTAAGCATCACAAGGACAACAATTCCAAATTTTAAACTATTTTCTTAAATCAAAATTATGAGATGAGTTCTTTTTATATTAAAACCCTTGACCATTTTTAAGACAATGTCAGGATTTCCATTTTCGAAAATATCCTGAATTTGAATCATTGTCGCGTTTTCCAGACAAACCCCACTTTCCCGTTTTGAGTATAATCCGCAATACACCACACAAACACTCACTTTTATAACGTACAAAATAAATCACTGAAAGTAAAAATTATCTTATGACGCCTAAATTAACTGGTGATATTTAGAATCCAAGTTTTCACATTTTATTTGTTACATAAGAGAATAAGGTTGATTTAGTTTCCTACATTTAAAACGATCAAATTCCCACAAATCTACCTTGCAAGAATAAATATTATATCATATCTGTTCGGTTCCATAGTAGTAAACCTATCGTGTAAGAATTCCCATTATTACACGGTTCAGGAGTCTCACAAATATAATATAATAATAATCTTATGAGGATAAAAATGTAATAATGGAATTCTTAAACTCGATGAAATAATCTTGATGTATTCTTTAACTCAGGCCTGCGGCCTTCGTTAAAGAATGCATCAAGATTATTTCATCTCGTTTAAGAATTTCCATTATTACATTTTTTTCCTCATAAGATTATCATAATATTTCTATTTTGATTTCTCGGTGCCGTAATGTTTTTTTTAAATATAAAAGAACAATATGTTATTATTTCTACTTTGTTTATATTTTACCTTATCAAAAAATCTTGTTTTGTGACGTAAGATGCGTAAATACTTGAAAATTGACATTGATATGAAATCGAGTAGTTGTCTCAAAACCAGGATTTTCAAAAACGCGGCATGAGCTGAAATGCGGCAATTGTTTCAAAATTGGGATATTTTCGAAAATGAAAACAAGAATGACCAAAAACTAATTCTCACGCCTTATTATCAGTTTAAAGTTGACAATTATTGTTTCAATAAATAGTTTTAGCCATTTCTTATAAATGTATGGTGTAGTTTTGTTTAACTCGGCTTGGATTTAAAGAGATATACGCTTGAAAAAGATAACTTTGCATATTTGGCCAGTGTTAGAAATGGGCCAAGTGTTAGTTTTGGAACTAATTTCCTCTGAACTGGTCAGAAACCATAATTAAAATTGTGTTAAAAAAATTATTTTACGGAGAAAATTGAAAAAAATGGAGAAAAATGGCGAAAATAGCCCTTTATATTTGACACTGTTAGACTTGTTTAAAAGAGACCTTCAATCTTTTTTTCAGAGTGTAGTTTTTTTGCTTCGGGAATAATCAAATGTCAGACAGTAAATACGCAATTTTGAGATTTTCTTATTCAATATTAAGGATTTGTCATCCAACTAAGCACAAATGAAAAAAAATCGACTTTAAAAATCACCCTGTACTAGAGAAACAGCTTACCAGGGTTTCTGCTAGAGAACCATCTTACCAGGATTTCAACTAGAGAACCATCTTGCTAGGGGTTCATCTAGAGAACCATCTTACCAGTGTTTCTTCTAGAGAACCATCTTACCAGGATTTCATCTAGAGAACCATCTTACAAAGGGATCCAACTAGAGAACTATCTTACCAGGGGTTCAACTAGAGAACCATCTTACCAAGGTTTCCACTAAAGATCCATCTTATCTAGGTTTCTACTTGAGAACCATTTTACCTGGGTTTCTGCTAAAGAACCATCTTACCTGGGTTTCTACCAGAGAACCATCTTACCAGGTTTCTACTAGAGAACCATATTACCAGGGTTCTACTAAAGAACCATCTTACCAGGGTTCTACTAGAGAACCATCTTACCAGGGTTCTACTAGAGAACCATCTTACCAGGATTTCTACTAGAGAACAACCTTATCAGGATTTCAACTAGAGAACCATCTTAACAGAGTTCTATTAGAGAACCCACTTACCTGGGTTTCTACTGAAGAACCATCTTACCAGAGTTCTACTTGAGAACCATCTTACCAGGGTTTCTACTAGAGAACCATATTACCTAGGTTTCTACTAGAGAACCATCTTACCAGGATTTCTACTAGAGAACCATCTTACCAGGGTTTCTACTAGAGAACCATCTTACCTGGGTTTCTGCTACAGAACCATCTTACCTGGGTTTCTACCAGAGAACCATCTTACCTGGGTTTCTACCAGAGAACCATCTTACCAGGGTTCTACTAAAGAACCATCTTACCAGGGTTCTACTTAAGAACCATTTTACCGGGTTTTCTACTAAAGAACCATTTTACCGGGTTTTCTACTAGAGAACCATCTTGCATGAGTCCGTATCCTGGTCTAGGAACCACTCTACCATTCACCAGTTCAAATCCATTCCTAGACATTAAAGATCATTAAAAAAACTACGGGGTGTCAAAAAATTTAAATTATAATCTTATGTTAACGTTTTAAAAACAGAATAGAATAAATTACGTATTTTCAGTGATAGAATTGAGAATTTAAAAATAAATGACATAAAAGGTTTCATTTTTTTGAAAATCATAGGAAAAGGGACAGAGTTCATTTCGAGCACATTATGAAGATTAAAAGCGACATTTTAGAGCAAAATGATTTAAACACGACCAAAATTAAGTACAATAAAACGATGTTTATCGGGCGAAAAATTTATATTTTCGGAAATATGGGATCGAGCACATTTTCGAATATTAAGCCTAATTTTTAAGGTTTTAACGGCATCGTAGAGAAAAATATTTCATCGACGGATTACCCATTTCTGGGATTTGTGTGTACTAGGAGCACTTGTTAACACAATACAACGATGTTTAGTATGCTAAAAAGCCTTAACACACTTTTTCAGCGACATCCTGTATATCCCCCCTCCCCTCAATAATATATATTTTTTTGTTATGTTCTCCTACAGCAGTGAAGCTATAAATGATGGATTAAACCCAACTCCGGCAATTCTTTCCCGTTTTATGATGTGTTAATTTGCTGGGGATGAATGTCTTAACAAATGACCCAAAAAGTTCACTAATTGGAAAAAATAGCAAAGCCCAAAGCGTATTTTTGCAAAAAAAGGAGTAGTCCTTGGAGAGGTGTCCCCCTAATTTGTTTTGTATATTGGGACCAAGGACAAGTAAACATTAGATCCTGCACCTTGGGAGTATTTTTCTATCATTTCTCCGCCTGGTTTCAGGATCTTCAGACTTCCTTCTCCTAAATAGACCAAACTTAAACTTGGAATTACTGAATGTATAAAGGCCACTGCAAATAATCCAGTCAATACTAGATTCCGTCACAACTAGATTCAGTCACCACTTGATTCAGTCAAGACTTGATCCCGTCAAGACTAGATTCAGTCAAGACTTGATCCAGGTAACACTTAATCCAGTCAAGACTTGATCCAGTCACCACTTGATCTAGGTAAACTAACCTATATCCTACTAAGCTAACCTGTATTCAACTAAGCTAACCTATATCCTACTAAGTTACCCTGTATCCTACTAAGCTAACCTATATCCTACTAAGTTAACCTGTATCCTACTAAGCTAACCTATATCCTACTAAGTTAACCTGTATCCTACTAAGCTAACCTATATCCTACTAAGCTAACCTGTATTCTACTAAGCTAACCTATATCCTACTAAGCTAACCTGTATCCTACTAAGCTAACCTATATCCTACTAAGTACTAAGCTTTAGCTAACCTATATCCTACTAAGCTAACCTGTATCCTACTAAGCTAACCTATATCCTACTAAGCTAACCTATATTCTACTAAGCTAACCTGTAACCTTTATTCTACTAAGCTAACCTGTATTCTACTAAGCTAACCTGTATCCTACTAAGCTAACCTGTATTCTACTAAGCTAACCTGTATCCTACTAAGCTAACCTGTATCCTACTAAGCTAACCTGAATTCTACTAAGCTAACCTGTATTCTACTAAGCTAACCTGTATCCTACTAAGCTAACTTGTATCCTACTAAGCTAACCTGTATTCTACTAAGCTAACCTGTATCCTACTAAGCTAACCTGTATTCTACTAAGCTAACCTGTATCCTACTAAGCTAACCTGTATCCATAGTAGGTAAGGTTCTGCAAGGGATTGGCCGGACTGGGAAGACGGAAAATATCCTGCGTTACTTTCAAACGTTCCTTTTCCGTCCTAAGAATGAGAAGTTTTGATATTAATAGAAATAACAAAAATCCATTCAAAAAATGATAAAATTGAGAAAAAAATCAAGAAAATAGGTTTTTAATGCTTCAGGAAAAAAAGGAGAAAAATTGGCCATCAAAAGGCAAGTTTTACCCTTTTGGATAATTTTTCCTCCAAAATTATTTTTTCCCCATCATGAAAGCAACGAATTCTTTCAATAAAATATATTGTTCTGACGAATAATAATTATGTGGAAAGTAAACAATACTCTAATGAAAACATTGGTAAGTGGAAAAGGTATCAAGTCTTTTACACAAACTCTGATTTTTTAATCCCCATAACTTTACAACCCAATTGCATAGACCTTAGATATTTTCAATTATCAATTCGGTTTAATGAAACAATCAAAGTTCGAAATGTCAAAGGTTTCCATCATCAGGTTGCAAAGATAGTAATAAGATAATTTGAGTTTGTGACTAAGACTCAATTCCTTTACATCTATGTCTTTGAAGCTTTTATACTTACCTAGCCACAAGATTCATTAAGAACTATAAAATATATGTAGAACTTGATCTAAATTTTGGTTGATTGCTGGTTAAATGGAAACTGGATTAAAAACTAATGACTAGAAAAGGGCAGTATGCTGTGTGGTTAGTGCGCACTAGTTCAACTAGCTTTCTTTATTTAATAATTTCCAACTCTGGGTGGCAAAAAAAAATAATAAATAAATTTTAAAAATCTCAAGTAACTGAAGATATAATCACTCATGGGTTACAATATTTATTAATTTTCACGTGACCATTTCCGTTCCAAAGTTCTTACAAGTATTGTAGTTAATTTGATGGCAATAATTACCTTTTTGATCTAAAAATATTCCAGCCAGGGTCCTTCAAGTCCCCGAGCTCTATCTCATCTTCGACCCTAGACAATTTCATAGCTTTGAAATACATTTTATTTCATAGGAGAAAAATTGCTATAAATAAATGAGAGAAGCTATAAAGGGTTAAAAGCAATAGCAAAAAAAAGGATCGTAAAGCGCCATCTTTGAGTTTAATGAAAAAGCGATGAAAAGCAACTTATATTCTAGTTTATGTTTACTGCCCAATGTGATACTTTTATTTTTATAAAAAAAAGTCGAAAATGAACATTCTTTTCGAATGTGCCCAAATGTTTTGGGAGACCTGAGCCCGCGATTTAAAAACTTCGACTCAAGCCGTAATTCCTTAAACCCGACTTAAAGACCCGATCTTCGACCCAACTCTGACGACAGCTTGTGTTACATGACTGACAACTGCAAGATCTTCGGCTCGACTTAAGGAGTAGGCCCAATGAAAATAAAACCGACCTTTGTTGGTTTTAGTGTAGAATAAGGCTCAATGTTGCGTCTTGTTATTATAAAAACTCAGAATGCGCCAATTGCCATGAAAATCCGCCAAATAGAATATAAACTCGTTTTTTTAAACTCAATTCTGTGGAAAATAAGATGCAGCTTGAATCCGAAAGCTCAAGCCGTAAATAAGACCCAACGACAGCTTAGACTTGAGCCGTGTTTTCCCGATTTTTTAAAATCGCGGACTCAGGGATAGTTTTTAATATGTTAACAGCAAAAATGTGCGAAATTTTAATTATTGTCGATAAGTACGGAACTTGGTAGATACTGAAAACAGGGGCGTACTCGGAAAATTTTAGGGAGGGGGGGGANTTACTGATTCAGGAGGGTCCCCCAATATTGGGTTTACCTGTAGGTTTTCATGGGTAGGTCCTCCAATGTACTCTGGGTCTCCGGTTTGCTACAGATCATGTTCAGCTGAGCATATAATTAATTAATCAAGGATTTCCCATGAATGAAGAATAAGAATAAAATATTCAGTTCGGTTGGAGATTATAAAACATTTCAGAACCAATAAAATAAAATAATTAGAAACTATTTCTGTTTATGTAGTGGAGTATAAAACGCAAATTTTAACAAATAGTGCGTCCCCCTAATCATGATTACTTTTTTAAATTAGAAAATACCATGTCATCTTGAAAAATTGTGCGCTAAGAAAAACACATGCAAGTTTTCTATTCATAATCTGGATAGCTTTCAAAGACCAAAGAGAATTCAAAAGTTTTCTCACAATTGTCTCCTTTTGTGGGCCGGACACCCTGATTCTTGGAGCCTTGGAGGCAATCAATACAAGAGTAAGTTCTTTAATATCTGAGGGGGTGGGGGAAGGCAAGCCGCACCAATTTAGCCTCCATCCCGCAATTTACTCACAAACATAGAGTTGCAGCAACGCGCTCACCTGAATGCTTCCTAGCCGCACCCCTATATTCTATGATAAATGTCTTTACTTTTAAAATTCATGGCATCTATAATTATGACCTAAACATATTAGTCATATTATATTTTAATATAAGTAACCATTCTCGCTCACTGTGGCAATGCTGTAATTTTTTTTTTTAACTGTGATTTATTGCGATTTCCTTCTAAAATGTATTATTTTGTACAATGTACATGTCTGCTGCTGTTGATCTTATATAGGAATTTTTTCCCCTTACCTTCGTAAAGAAGAAATTCAACATTATCAAATGAAGTTATGCGTGCAATTCGGTCTTAAATTATTTAAAATCAGATAGAAAGCCAAAAAGATGTATAGATTTAGATAATTTTAAACCAAATTGCACGCAAAACTGTGTTTTTCTTGTAAAAAATCAAATTTCTCTCACACTTCAAAAAACGTTTTTAGAAAAGATCAACATCAGCGAAGACGTGTACGTAATATTATATTTTAAGAGAAAATCGCAAGATATTTTGCTGGAAGATATAGGGGTGCGGCTAGGAAGCAATACAGAGTGTGCGCGTTCCTGTTACTCTATGTTCGTGAGTAAATTGCGGGATGGAGGCTATACGGGGGCAGCTTGCCTTCCCCCTTTGATCTGACACAATATTCACCAGAAATAAGGTTATTATTATCATTGTCGCACTTCCTTTTAATTTTGAAATATCGCTTTGGATTTCGTAATTTGAAATTTTTATTGGAAATGTTTAAATATGTTAAAGGCAAATTTTAAGAAATATTTCACAAGAGACATTTATTAAGAAAACGCTGAACGAGTACAACTTAAAATTGTAAATAACTAATGCTTTAACATTGAATATGTGGAGTGTGGAAAAATATATTTTGATTGATGAGTAATTTTGTTGACAGGTTTCCCAGTAGATTTGGTAATTTGTTTGCACTTGACTCAAATTTTATAATGTAGTATTAATGATAAAATTTGACTTCTCTCTGGAAAATAAGTTACCTGCTCAGAACTACTAGACTTGGTTGATATTCCCTTCCTTCTACAATAGTTCAATGCCTCAGCTGAGATGGGTAGGTTACTCATACCCTAAACATTTTTATTATAAGAAATAAGAAATAATTGAAAGCTATTGTTTTTGTTAAAAATTCCAATTTTTGATCCAAACCTGAGCCCTACTTGAAGGATCCAGACTTGATGCTGAAACTACTGTAGCTGAAGCCGATCCAGAAACTACCGTAGCCGAAGGTTTTGCTGGTCCCTTTGAAGATGAACCCTTTGTAGAGAAGGCTCCAAAACCATTAGTAGCTGGAACTTTTGAGCCTAACGAATCTTTATTTGAACCTGACAGTGTAAGTGAACCTGACACACTTGATCGGTGTAAAGATGATTTAGCCAATCTAGGATCTATTTTCTTAAGAAGTTTTGGCACTTTGAACTTTCCCAAATCCGCGAGGTTGGGATATTTTTCAGGGCTTCTTATACGTTTCTTATCTTTGTTCGACTTGATCAAACCTTTAAAGATGGACATACATTTTCCGTTATTCTTGATTTTGGGGTTCTTACTGGGTTCATGTCTATCCTTTCTTACAGCCAATTCCAAGGGTTTTTGAGGCATCTCTTCATTCTTGGGTTGTGCTTCCTTATCAAATCTTTCTACGTTCTTGGGTTCTGCATCCATTTGAATTCTTTCTACATTCTTCGGTTGTGTTTCTATTTCATATCTTTCTTTATTCTTGGGTTCTGCATCCATTTGAATTCTTTCTACATTCTTCAGTTGTTTTTGAATTCTTTCTACATTCTTCGGTTGTGTTTCTATTTCATATCTTTCTTTATTCTTGGGTTCTGCATCCATTTGAATTCTTTCTACATTCTTCAGTTGTTTTTCTATTTTATATTTTTCCTCATTCATTGGTTGGGCTTCCATTTCAAATCTTTCCCCATTCTTAGGTTTTGGATTCATTGAAAACCTTTCAGCGGTCTTAGGTTGTTTGACCATTACTATTTCCAAGCCAGGATGAATATCTTCTCCATAATTTTCCACCTTTCCAGGGCAACCTTTCATCTCTGGATTGCAGACTTGAATTCCATTTTTCTTCTCTGATTTCATTTTCTCCCTAGCTTTTGTATTTTTAACTAATATATCTTCTTTCATTGGTTGCCCAGAATACTGCAAAAAGCTGGCATCAGTTTTGATTGAAAACTGGAAGAGATCAAGAGATGAACGCTTCTTTACTGGAGATGGTTTGTGAATTGGCTGACTGTCTTTTGTCAATTTAACATCGTCCTGATGAGAAGAGTCATCAGTTACAAGAGGTAAAGCAATCAACAAAGAACTGTAGTCTGTATTGAGGTCGATAACACTCTTATTGTTAGTTACTTCTCTGATGACATTTGTATCAGCATAGCATTCTTTCTCAGAGTTTATCACTTGATGATCAAGAACCTCCATCTCCTCATTCTGAGCCTTCCTCTGATTATTTACCTTTTTCAACTCAACTATCTCCTTTGAACCAATCAAATCCTTCTCATTTAGAATTTTATTTGTATTTACATCCTTCTTCTCTTCACCTTTCTCTGTATTATGGACATCATTTTCTAGAACATCTTTCTTATTGAAAAGCACTTTCTCATTGCTTTCATCCGTTACGATGTCATTGATCTTATCATGAACCTTTTTCTTGTGGCTATCCTTTTTATTAAGAACATCTCTTTTACCTTCTTTCTTGCTACTTTTCCGTTTTTTTACTTTTCCCGTTTTATCCATTTTCATTATTTTCTCCAACATTTTCTTAAAGTCTCCGTTGTCCGGTTCATATACTGGGTTTAAACCAGTCACAGGTTTAGAACTACCAAGATATATTGAATCCATTCTATTTATTTTCCTATACTTTTCTACTCTGGATTTCAGTTTGGAATATCCTTTCTTGTTGCAGATATTTTTTAAGTTCACTTTACACTTCCTTAGTTTAGGGTACTGCAGACATTCTCCGGAACAATCCTGAACAAATAAAGGGGGTTGAGTTAAAAAAGTAGCTGGTGTAAGCATTCTATTTGATCCCTTTTTCTTCAAATATTTAAGGTTTATTGCTTTCCAGTTGCTCGGGAAAATCTTTAAGCATAAAAGGCTTAGTTTTATTGCGCTATGCAAAATGTTGACATACACTGTACAGTTTATACATCTTTGGGTTTATTCTTCTAAAAGGCAGTGGTTGTGTTTAAGGGAAAGCTTATACACCATGAACATAAATAAATTTACATGATATGAAAACCTAGGATATTTTTATCATTAATTGTATTTATCAAGAAAGATCATGAAAGGACCCTTTTTTATACTTCACAATACAAGTAATACATGTAATACATATCTACAGAGTAACTTATTCAGACATTAAAATACGATAAGCATCTCATGGAAATATTAACCTAATCAGAACTTCCCACATAGCTAATCAAATCTTGCAACAATAACCTTCAAACTTAAACCAAAGAGTTTGCACAGAAAATATCTCAAGCATTATGTCTTAATAGACTAATGGGGAGTGATAAAAGCACAAAGCCACTCATTAATTATAGGAACCCTCATCATTACTTTAAAAGTACTGCTTTACCAGCTTGCACATTTTAAATTTAACATGGACAATATTTTTTGACAATTTTATCAATAAAAGAAGTGACAGTTAATTTAAATATAAATTAAGCTCCAGAGTTTCTTTACCATGTAACTGGAAGCAATTAGTCTTAATTAGTTTTCATTCAATTACTTGTTAGGTGTCTGGATAAAATAAAAGATAAAAACTTTTTTCACCTTTATCTTGAGTAAATCTTGTTCGGGCCTTTCAGTTATATTGCTCTTTCCTTTATCCTCCTTCTGATTGTTATCTATACTCTTGTTTTTGAGATCCTCGGATCTCTTAAGATCCTCGGATCTCTTACAATCTTCGGCAATCTTATTCAAACGATCCTTGGAGCTGTTATCTTTGTGGTCTGAAGTTTTCTTGACTTCACGCTGAACAGATATCTCTGGTTTAATTTCTATCTCCTTAGATTTAGCCTCGACTGATTTCTCCTGTTCATTTTGTGTCTTATGTCTCAGTTCGACCGATTTCTGCTGTTCATCTTTGGTCATGGTATGTGTCACCACCTGAGATTTTTCCTGTTCATTTTCTGTCTTTTGTCTCAGTTCGACCGATTTCTGCTGTTCATCTTCGGTCATGGTTTGTGTCACTTCCCGAGATTTTTCCTGTTCATTTTCTGTCTGCAAGCCTCTCTTGATCTTTTTCTCTTTGTTTCTTTCATTGCCAGACTTATAAACTGCGTTCTTAACAGGCTGAGGTTTAGACCGACCCAGGTACAGTGAATCCATTATGTTTGTCTTTAAATACTTTTCAACTCGAGAGTTCAGTTTGGAATATCCCTTCTTTTTGCAAACATTTCTCACGTTCACTCTGCACTTTTTTATCCTTGGAGAGTGCGGATTTTTTCCATAAGAATTTGTGGATTTCTTCAGTTTCTCTTCAATCTTTGTACTTCTTTGATCCTCTGTCTTCTGATTTCGGATGGATTCGATCTTTTTATCTGTATTCGATTTCTTCCCTTCATTCTTTATTTGATTGAGGCCCTTCTTTATTGTCTTCTTCTGTTTCTGCTCTGTTTCTTCCGTCATTTTGACTTCTTTCTCTTTAGTTCCCTTGGTTTGGTTGGATTGAATGTTGCTAGATTTCTTGTATTTGTTGACATCAATGGTTTCTAAAAATTCTTCAAACGTGCTTTTAGATTCCTGAGGTTTGTCAGATTCGTATTGGTTCTTCATGAGCTATGTAGAGGTATATATATTTTAAATAACCAAGAATCTGCAGGGGTATAGAGATTTTGTGGCAGAAGACTTCAGTTGGAAGCAGATTTTTTTGGACTAAGAATAACATGCTATTTTTGAGAGATATTATTGACTAATAAGATAGGGTTTGTGTCAGATTTTATGGATCTAAATATTTTTGTGACTTAATGACATTCAGTTTTTGCCACCAACTCAAATTTACTAACCCATTTATCTTCGAAACCTGGTGGTTTAAATCTTTGATATTTTAAACTTAGATTATTTGGTTAGTTTGAAAGATCTAAGGTCTACAATATTGGGTCGCTAGGATATAGGGATTAGAAAATCAGGTTCTGTGGGAAAGAGTAAGTCCTTTATGTGTTAAAATATTGATTAGTGGATTTTTTTTAAGATGTATTGGTGTAATGGGTGTACTAACGTACAACGTTCACCCAGATTGATCCTACGTGCACCCCTACCTTAGGGGGATTATGATTCTAAAAAAAAAATAGGAAAAATGATACGTCTTAAGGGAGTGACCGGCTACGTAAGGTAGTTGAGCTGAGTATGCAGTGTTGTGGAAAAATTCTTTCGGATTCATTTGAGACATATTAAACCTGTTAAAGATCTGTAAATCCTGAGTTTGAGCTCGACGTTCAAAACTCCTACTTTGGGGGTGGATACGTTTTCAGAATTAGTTTTTTTAAAATTATTAAATAAAGACAATGAAAAATAAAGTAAAAATTATACAGTAATCTAATTTGATTCTGAGAAACCAGAATAATGAGAAAATAGCAACTAATAATTTAACAAGATTACTTATTTTCAATGCTAAGATTAATTTTTTTTTCTCAACATGTTCCTGTCTGTAGTTTATTGTAGAACTTTTTTACATTTTATGTCTTTGTTATTTAATAATTTAAAAAAAAACTAACTCTGAAAACGTATCCACCCCCAAAGTAGGATTTTTGAACGTCGAATTTGCACTCAGACTCAGGATTTACAGATCTTTAAAAAGTTTAATATGTCTCAAATGAATCCGAAAGAAGTTTTCCACAACACTGCATTCTCAGTTCAACTACCTTGCATAGCCGGTCACTCCCTTTAACCCAAATTTTTTTCTCTCTAAAAACTAATCCACATTTCTCTAATTCAATAAAACCCCCATGAATTTTTATGAAGCCTAAAAACTACGATATACTTTAAGATAAAATGATTTTTCAAAAGATAAAGTATGGGAGAGGAATATTATAATAAGACTATATATACCACTTGACCTTAGAATCAGAAACATTTGTCTTGCGAGACATATTCCTGATGTTCACTTCAATCTTTTTCTTCTGGATGTTTGGATCCTTTCTTTCCACCTCCTGAACAGATGAACTTGCATGTATTTTTAAAGGGGGGGGGGGACTGGAAGAACAAATTTTACCAAACTGAATTTTGATTGAGATGGGAAAATCATCAGAAAATAATGGTTGTCACTTATTGCTTGATAGAAATGTAAACATAATTTCAATTAACAATCCATTTGTAGAATGGCATGTCGGATTCACATTGGTACCCTTGAATAATTTTTTTTTAACAAGAATGCAAAAGATATCCCTAATTGGTTTTAGTTTCTCTTTAAAGTGAATTGCAGATATATCAAATGGTCAAAATGAGTAATTGTTTAAGGTAGAGCAGGTAATGTTAAGGGTATCGTTCTTTTCCATCCGTAAATGGAAAGTTAATTGAAATTATAGCGACTGTGCCATTAACTAATTTATTGTCTCTTTTAGTATAATAATCTGAAGATTAGTTTATATTTCTCCATAGAGAATAGAATATATAGAGAGGAATTTACTATAAAAAAGTGTAAAACGGCCATTTTGTTGTAATGTTTCCATACTGCAGGTGTACTTCACATATTTGTGCTCTATATAACCTTTTGGGCCCGGGAATATCATTTTATAGAAAATCTAAAATTATTGTTAAAAGAAAGCCAAATTATGAAATAGGCTGGTTTCATAATTGACCAATGATCATTTCACGTAGACTTTATGCCTTCCACTTTACAAACGATGATTTTCCGTTATAAGTATATAAATCAAATGATGTTTTTATTCACCTAATTCATTATATAGTTTATTTAACAGTTTAAAAAATTCGAAATTGAAATGGAAAGTATAGGGAACATATACTGTATTAATGTACTCTACTGCACATAATTTGTGAACATTTTCATGATTTGTACACTTTGAACTCCCTTTCAGGCTGAAAGGGACTGAACAAATTCATACCGAGAGATTCTTTTAATTCCTCTCTATATATTCTATTCTCTATGTATTTCTCTCTTAAATGTATTCTTTTAATAATAGTGTTTCTCAGTTTAAAAGGTTACCATTGTAAATCAGTTTAAAACTAAAGAAAGCGCTAAATTTAACTTATATCTTAGAAGTTCTGAAAAATAATGAGTTGAGACTTAAATATTAATCTTTTTCAATTTAACCCTGAAGGGAAATTTTAATTTTCGGGAAAAATTTCAACCAATAAGAATTACGAATCGACAGAGATTATGCAGATAAAATATATTTTGGATTACACGGTGTATTTGTGTATTCCAGATTACGGGAAAAAATGTATTAACTTAAATCGTCAAATTAAATTATTTTAATGCATTGAAATATCGCACAATGCTTTAAATTTTAACTCGCTAAAATCGACGAATTAAATAATTAAGCCATAGTTTAATATTCAGATTTAAATTAATTTAGAAGTGGCATGTAAGCTCAAACTAAACATTTAAGTCGTAACTTTTCGTTGTCAAGTTTTAGACTCAAATATATTCCACTCTTTTAATGTTCACATGGAATTACGCATTCATTTCAGTCCCTTACACATGATTTTCGTGAATTACGTTTAGGAAAACAAACTTTTCACTAAATATTCATTCATATATTTATGGAGGAAAACGATTAAGTAATAAACGCCTCAATTTTCTTCTTCTCAATTTTAAAGCGAGAAAAGTGGTTTTTAAGAACCCCTGGAACTAAATGAAATTGAACAGAAATTATCATTTTCCTGAAGAAGAGATTATTTTCTTAGGAAAAGTTTTCTAACAGTGAATAATAAGATTTAAATTTACCTCATCTAGCTCATCTAGTTCTCCCCCTTCATTCTCCTTCACATCTTTAATCTCCATATTTGGTTTCAATACATCCAAATCCTTTTTCTCTTCTCCATTCTCAACCCGTAATCTCTTCTTTGGTTTCAGCAAGTTTGGAGTTTCTTCCTCTCTCTCTGACACAATCCGTTTCCTTTTTTGTCCAGACCCGTCTAATTTTCTAATCTTCCCATCTACTCCTGATCTCTTTCCTTCGATCCAGTCTTTCTCCTAATAAACAAACCACATATTACTTCTTTATTATTTCGATCAAATAAATTTTTTCATATGTAAATATAAACCCTTGACAATTATTGACAAGTCTAATAATACCAAGGAGAATTGAATAGAAGGAGGGGGCGATAGGGTTCCGTACACTTTGCTGTGACGTTTTTGAACTGCTGAAGAACTAGTTTTTGTGTAACAACAATAACAAAGGCAGCCGATCTAATGTAAACAAACATGAGTAAGTATACGGTGAATCTTCATTTAACGCAACAGAGATTCCAGATGTCTGTTCATCATTATGTGTTATTGTTTACAATCTTTATTATTGTTGTTACACAAAAACTAGTTCTTCAGCAGTCCAAAAACGTCACAGCAGTGTACGGAACCCTATCGCCCCCTCCTTCTATTCAATTCTCCTTGAATAATACTAAACTATCAGTTCTGGAACCATTAAATACAGTGCTCAAGAGTTTGATGCGGATCCAGATCCTGGATCCGCACTGTAAAAATGGATCCGGATATTTAACATTTTCAAATAACTTTTTGCTTTACCCCGCTTATTTTATGCTAAATCTTGAAAATTTGATAATCTCTTTTTTCAGCAGTTCAGATTTGGGTTTTGAGAGCAGAAGATTTTTTAGCAGTTTTGATTGATATTTTGCCCCTCGTCCGTGGATCCGGACTTTTGTGGATTTTTGCGGATACGGATCCGGATCCAGGAAGCCAAAATGTTGCGGATACATTGGATCTGGATCCTCAGTACTGATTAAAAATATAATTTAACCTCATTGGTATCATCAGTAGATTCTTCTTCTTTCTCTTTCATTTCCTTCTTGAAATCAGATTCCAAATCTGAATCATCATTTTTCTTTTTAACCCACATCCACCTGTAAAAATAAAAAATATTTTCATAACATCAGTTCAATTAAAGTATCGAAAAATTTGCGTATGTAATGTGTGTGTACGTAGGTTACCTTTCCTCCAACCATACTATTGAGAAGAGATTTTTATAAGAAATGTCACATTTGCTGCCTTGGTTACACATAAATGAACCCTTAAAATTGCGGAATAAGAAGAATTTTATAAATATTATTTGATGTTATTTTAAAACAAATAGTTGCACCAAATACTTTATTAATAAGTGAAATGTGTTTGTTTAAACTGGATAATTGTTGTTTCATGTTATTGGCCTAGATCTAAAGTCACAGTTGTTTTCCTTTTCCACAATTTGATGGGTTCCACTGTATGATAGAGGTTTCTTTCAGATTAAGCGTGAGGAAACAGGACGTTTTAAAATAGAACTAAGCTAAACAGTACAGATAAACTACGGACAACCACATTCACCAATGCAAAAACTGAAGACTGATGACACACTGCTGAAAATGAACCACCAGGCTTCAAATCAAAATACCTAATTGTTTTCTTGGAAATATATTAATATGCAGTCTACTGAGTTATAATCTCAAGTTTCAGAAAATGCCACCAAGGAATTTTTGAGAAAATCTATTTTTGAGAAATCTCAGAAATCAAGTGCATTTTACAGGTCTAAAATTAAATGTAAATCTCGTTTCAAGACTTTTATTTGCTCCTTGTAGTTCTTTTAAAGATATCTTTTCATCCACAACTGGCAGGGTCCCTAAATTTTGTAAATTTCCTTAAACAGTCGTAAGAAATATTGTAGCAACAAATCAAAGCCATAAGTCAACTGGCTGACTATCAAGATACGGGATGAAAATCTTTTTTGATGCGATTTTTACTGATATCGATTCAAAAAGACTACTTTAGGAGTACTTAGGCAGTCATACAGTTCACCTAGGGCTTTGAATTTTTGCTAAAATATGTCTTATGATTTTAAAGAAAAATTCAAAACATTTGAGGATACTGCCATTTAGGTTGAAAAATCTAAAAAACAACTAAGAAAAGCTTAATTATGCCTTAAAACTGCATTTAGGTTTGATTTTAGACCTGTAAATGCACTTGAGCTCTACAATTTCTAAAAATTGGATTTACTCTAAATTCCCTGGGTGGCATTTTCTGAAACTTGAGATTTGAACTCAGTAAACTGCATATATTCCAAAGAAAAAGTTTTAACTTGAAATCTCACGGTTCATTATCAGCAATGTGATGGGCACGGGAAATGCCTGGAATCTTTTCTTCAAGCAGAATCCATTTGCCATTCTATGATGAATCAAATTTTTTACTGAAAAACATATATTAATAAGTTCCTCTGTACCTTTTTGTATCTATATGTGATGGAAGATTCTTTTACAATGATTAAAAAATATTAATTTCGATGACAACACGGACCCCTGACCCTCTAGTCAAAGTAAATTCAACCTATACGTGTTTTCTTTATGAATAAATAAATGTTTGTCTGTCTGTTCGTATGTTGCACATGAACAAGGGGAGGAAGGCCTACCACAACTATTTTTCGTCTGAGCCACATTCTCCTCATTTTCTCGTTCGAGCCACCTCGAAATCCTCGTCCTTTCAATATTATTTTTTTAAGTGTCTACTCCTCCCAGATAAAACTATTTTTAAAGAATCGGGCCACATAAATAAGGGCATAAATAAAATATCGAGTTTTTGTAAGTCGAAAAAAAGTATCAATTGAATTAAAAATTTTAAGCTTAATGTCTTTAAAAATGTTCCATCTTTTTTTCTGCGTATTTTAGATAACTCTGGTGTAGAATGCCGCAAATAATTCCGAGTTTATAGAACTTAAATCTTTTTTTGTTAACTTTAGTGAAATCCATAGAATTTTTACGGGTGGTTCCATGGGGAAAATGATAGGCAGAAGTATGCCAAATATTTTGCTATTTATTTTATATCGAGAAGGTTAACCATTACGGAGGCAAAGGAGATTAAGTTTAACCTATATGAAGTTGGACATAATTCTCATGGGTTTGAAGATTCCAAAATGATATAATCATTGTATTACTTTAGTCCATCCATATTTTATGCCTTAACGTGTCCAGATTTAAAAGAAAATAGTTTGATCTTCGAGAATTGGACACTTTTAAACACATAACAATCGAAGGACGAGGATTCCGAGGACAAGAAAATGAGGAGAATGTGGCTCGGACGAGAAATTGTTGTGGCTGGCCTTCCTCCCCCTCAATGAACCCCTGGACCAATTTGTCTCGAGTTTAGAAGGTTGGCTTTTAAATAAAAAGCTTTGTTTCCAGGTAAAGCTGGGTTCCCAAGTTTACTAATCAACAAGTTCTAGATGTCCCAAAAAAGTGACAAAATTGCCAATTTGTTGGTCCCTTGAATAGTTGCCAATATTTTATAATTTTTCAAGATATGTAGTCCGAAAAAAAAAAAAAAATTTTAATTTTGTATTTTTGTAATAAATGTAACTAAGAAATCCTGCTTGGCTAAAACCTTTGAAAGAACATCTCTCGCTTTACTGGATCCAATCATTAGTGTAATTATTAATGTAGATTTTTCCTGTACAATGTACTTTGTACATATATATACATTCTCTGTTTAACAGCCTGTTATAATTTAACTTTCTTCGAGTTAGTTTAAGTACAGTTGGTTTACGTAGAGCTAGTTTACGTACAGAGTTGGTTTATGTACATTTGGTTTACTCAAAGCTAGTTTACGTACAGAGTTGGTTTATGTACAGAGCTGGTTTGTGTAATGAGTTGGTTTGGGTACAGAGTTGGTTTATGTATAGAGTTAGTTGGTTTAAGTATAGAGTTAGTTGGTTTATGTATAGAGTTAGTTGGTTTATGTATAGAGTTAGTTGGTTTATGTATACAGACTTGGTTTATGCGTTAGTTAATTTACAGAGCTGGTGTATGTAGAGTTATAGAGTTGGTTTATGTACAGAAATGGTTAATGGACAGAGTTGGTTTAGGTACTGAGTTGGTTTATGTACAGAGTTGGTCTTTGTACAGAGTTGGTTTATGTATAGAGATGGTTTATGTACAGCGATGGTTTATTTACAGACTTGGTTTATGTAAAGAGTTAGGTTTTGTACAGAGTGGTGAGCATCGTCTCTTTGTACATTGTACAATAAAAACAAATTGCGGATTTAATGATATTTTTGACCATTTTTAAAATTCAACAAAAATAAAAACTTATGGACACTTCCTGTAATTTTGAGCTTTCATAAACCTTCCCTGTGGTCATGTGAGGCCCCACACAAAATTTTGGCCCGATCGGTTCAGCCGTTTTGACGTTTATTGGATACAAAGAAACAAGCAGACAAAAAGACAAGCAAAGTATATATATAGATAGAAGATAAATAGATAGATAGATATATAAACCTGGCTTGTTGTTTAGCTAGAAAGTTTCTCTCATCCTTCAAGAATTCTGGGATAATTCCCAGGTCTGTTATCGGTCCATCTACTACTACTACTAATAATAATAATAAAATAAAAATAACTTTCTTGGCAACAATTGGTCAAACAGTTCTGAAGGGGTATTTTGTAAATCATTAACCTCCCCAAATATGAAAACAGGGGTAAATATTTTTTTGAGAAAATCACACCCTTTTAGAAGCCCCCGCCCCCAGGTGTAAAATTTTTCATGATTGGGGGAAAAATTGATAAAGGGGTAAAACATAATTTTTGAGTAAAAAGTAACAAAAAGGAAGCTTGAACAGCTATTTAAAAAAACGGATCTTCACCGGTTAGATAATTTAGGGGTTCAATTTAAATTTAGTTTTGGGCAAAAAGTATAAAAAAGGAAAGTGTTTCATGAGTAGGGGTTTTGAAAAGGAACTCTAAAAGCCTACATGCTAAGATCTCAATATATGTATACCTCTTGTTCAGCCTAGCGTGGTTTAAAAGTTTTTTTTTTGTTGGAATCCCAAGAACATGTTTAATTTTGAATATCTTAGAAAAATATTTACTTGTATTAAAGAAACTATTTGTTTAAATTTTCCATTCCCCCTCCCCCCCACCCCCACTAAAACAATGTTTAAACAATCCCAGCTCAGGGAAATATATTTCCTTGGTCGTAAAGTCAATTTTTCCGCTGAATTGGGGAAAATAAATCTATTTTTGGATAAAATAATTAAAAGGGGGAACAACAGCGGTGTATATTCTTAGTTAGAGTTGACCCATCATCCATATTATAAAATAAGTTGATGTTTTCTCTCCTGTTGTTTAGCTTTGATTTAGTTATAAAAGACGACATTTACTGTTTGTATATCTAAGCATAAAGAAGAGGTAGCTCCAGTTTCAGTTTGAACTACACACCTATCACGAGTGTGGAGATTAGTTTCCAAGATGAAAAAAGGTACAAGCTTGTAAACCTTATATAACCTTTAGATTGTTTGCATAAGTGTATGCATATTATATACAGGGTGTCCCACGAAACATGACAATAGGAAGACGACTTGAAAGTCGTCTTTGGTATTTGAATTTATTTGTGACATTTAGTCTTCTATCTACTTTAACATGTATGATTCTTGAAACAATTATCACATAATTCTCCTAGCCCTGGCATTTCCAAAAAGTGGTCTGCGTTTTTTGTGCTTTCAATATTACCTGAGATATAAAGAGTTTGGTTCAGATTTCAATTTTGTTAAATAAAAGCAAAATTGTCGAAATCTGAACGAAATTCTTCATATCTCGGGCATTATTGAAAGCACAAAAAAAACAGACCACATTTTGGAAATGGCAGAACAAGGGAAATTTTGTGATTATTATCTCTAGAAATTTACTTCTAAAATTAGGTTGACAAATAAACGCAGCAAATTATATCAAAAATCAAGACGACATTCAAGTCGTCCTGCATACTGTCATGTTTCATGGGACACCCTGTATCTTATCCATTTTGTATATTTCAGTTGTGTTTTGATGTGTATATAAGAAGATCTGATTCAATAAACAACTAAAGAAACGTTTACTTATTATACACATCTCTACTAAGACAAAACTTGTTATATGGGTTTTAATGAAATGAACACCAGTATGTTAAAGTGCTCAATCAGAGGAAAAAGTGAAGGCAAGATAAGATTTTTCTTCTTTTTACCCCTTAAGTTCAACTTACGGGGTATAGAGTTCAATATACATTTAATACTTTTTCCTATTTTTATTATTGAGAAACTATTAGGTAAGAAAAATCATAAAAAATAATGCTTTGCAATTTTGATGAAGAAATTTTAAACTAAATTGAATTTTATTCCCCTTGGATGACACTTTTTTACTTACTCTCTCCTTTCACACTGTTTTACTTAAACTTGTTTTGATTATTCTTACATGATTGGTCAAATTTTGGGAACGTGAGAATATATATCCCTGGCAAACTTGCAAATTGGTCAAATTTTGGGAAAGTGAGAATATACACCCCTGACAAAACTTGCAAACTGATGTCCAATTTTTAAGTGTTTAAAAAAATCTTAGCAACTTATATGTCAAAAAATGCTCCAAGATAATGTATACCTGTCATGGTTTGATGAGAACCAGTTATCCTAGAATCTGCTGTACTATTAGGAAAGATCCTGTTGAAACTATTTCCTGGGATAATGTCGTTGCAACTAAATGATCTAGAGGAAGCAGTACTGCTGGTTGAACTTGACTTCGTGGTACTGCTGGACGACCTGGAGTTTATTGAACCACTAGAATAGCTGGTTCCTGATGTACTGCTTGAGGACCTGGAGTTAATCGAACCACTAGTGTAACTGGTTCCTGTTGTACTGCTAGAGGACCTGGAGTTGATTGAACCCTTGCTGTAGCTAGTTCCTGTAGTACTGCTGGAGGACGTGGAGTTGATCGAACTCATTCCTTTCTTTATCTGTTAATTTTTTTGGTCGGAAAATATCGTGTATCAGTTTTTAAGTCATTGGTATACAATTTCATACAAAACTACAACAAATTTACAGTTTGAAGGAACTGCAAACGTAATATCGAGTGACCTATTATCCACAGCGTGGCATGTCCAATTATAACCAGAGTTTTCTCCAAAACGCTTAAGATATCCCAATTACTCAAAATAAATAATGTTAGATTGGTGGTATCTGCGTATTTGTCATAAGAATTGCCAAGGATAATTGTCAAAATTCAACCTTTTTTTAAACTACGATATTTTTATCATTGTTGCTCAGATAAAGATTTAAATGGTACTCTTGTAAATCGGACAAGCCATCTGTTTTAAAAATGGAGTGCCTAGTTATTTTTACGAGAAAAAGCCGATCCAAATTTCGCAATTAAATCTAAAATTAGGTCTTTATAGCAATATTCTTTCCTTTTGTTCTAACCATTGTTCTCTGTTATTATAATGAGCATAATATACTAGTTAGTACCAGACTGAAAACATTCTATTAACTCGATGGAAAAAAACAAATTCGATTTTCTTCTTTCCCCGGCCCAAGGAACAGATTGGAAAAATCAAGGCAAAGAAGAAGAACCAGTTTTTAAAAAGTCAAGAGTAAAAAATTATTGCAATATGGAAACCCTATCCATTGTAATCCTTTAATTAATTACATTTTGAAATTTTAAATAAAAATATAACGCGGAAAACTTAAAACAGGATACCGAATTAGCGAAACAAAAACAATTTCGTTATTCCCTTGAAACCAGGCCCGTAGCCAGGATATTTCCAGGGGTTGCAAAAAGGTGCGCTGCAGGCGAATTTTTTTTTTTTTTTTTTTTTTAAATGCTTGGTTCGTTTTTACAGTGGTATATGGTTGTTTTTATTACATTGTCAATGCACACAATAAAGACTAACCTTTTAACAAGTGTAATTGAGCTTTTAAGGGTTAAATTTTAGATTCTGAAACTTTTCAGGTTACATATACAATATACAAGACATTCTTAGTGGACTTTTGAGTTAAGAGTACTCAACAAAAACTCGTACTTTGACTAAAAATGACAAATATCTTCGCCCATAATGTTTTTTAACTCCCAAAAATGGCTATTATATTCCAAAATAAATGGATTTTAGAAAATTACGAGAAACAATTTCTTTTATATGGGACTGGGGGGGGGGGGTGCAAATTCGTCATTGCACCCCCCTTTCAGAAAAAAGGGGGGTGCACCTGCACCCTTGCACCCCCCCCGGCTACGGGCCTGAGGGGGGGGGGCCAAAAATCGTTCTCTAGGACAGACCCAATACTTTTATGGGACATCACATGACCACAGGGAAGGTTTATGAATGATANAATATATTTCAAGCTTGGTTTTGGTTCAGAGCAGGTTCCTTCTCCGGGAATGAATCCAACTTATGCTTGATGTCCAAGGATGGGTTCAGGAAATGCTCTGTGTTTTTGGCTTGGCTTTGAACTTGAGGTTTTTGTAATCGAGATTCTGAATTGATCTTAACCAGGTTCGGCTTACTCTGATCCTGTGAAGAGCTCAAGGGAGGAGAAGGTTCAGGATGCTGATCACTTAAAGCTTTAACAGTTTTACAGTCCTTTTGATCTGAACATGGTTTTACTTTCGAAATAATCTTCTTTGATTTCAAAGAACTAGATCCTCTAATTATAATCTTTGGAATCCTAGTATCACTAATGAACTTTAGCTTCACAAAATGAACTGGAGCGGTTCTTTGACATGGACCAGGTTCGGGTTCAGAATTTTCAAACTTCTCTTTATGATGAGATTTACTGCAATTTTGATCAACGTCCTCTGGATTGTCCTTGGGTTCGCAAATCTCCTCTTGGTTGTGATCGGGTTCACAAATGTTCTCAAGCTTGTGATCGGGTTCACAAATGTTCTCAATGTTGTGATCGGGTTCAAACATGTTCTCTGGGTTGTTATCGGGTTCAAAAATGTTCTCTAGGTTGTGATCGGGTTCACAAATGTTCTCCGGGTTGTGATCGGGTTCACAAAAGTTCTCCGGTTTGTAATCGGGTTGACAAATCTGCTCCGGGTTGTAATTGGGTTCACAAATCTTCTCAGGGTTGAGTTGAGTTAGGACCACTACATCTGACAAAATATCTTCATCTTTTTCATTGTTCTGAATATTTGCCATTATTTTTCTGAAACTTAAACACTTTGTGTGTATTTGTTTATTCATAAAACACAAAATTAAGGATAGAATCCCCCCCCTCCCCATTTTCAACATCACGACATAAACTTGCAACAAATTTACTTTTTATCAAAGATAATATATATATA